TATCATGATTGTGTAGGTAACGCGCCAAGTCACGAGGGCTACATAGTTCTTTTCCGGCTTTTGTGTAAACGTTTCCTCGTGATTCTTCCTTGTTTCGATTAATGTAGCCCAAAAAGTGTCAACGCTGGTTCAGTTTTGTTATAAAGGCCTGATGTTTAAAAAATATCAATTTACGGAAATGATTCAAATACAGTAGACATACGCTATAGTTGCATAATGGATTCTTACACGGGTCATGCTAGCCCTTCAAACGATTAACTTAATATTTTAAATGCTGTTCCTATGTCTTAATTATTATTTAATTTACAATCACTTTCATTCAATAAATATAGAAAACACATTACAGTAATTGATAAAAGGAAAACATTTAGAAAACTCCACAGTATACCATTCTTAAAATAAATGACAAAGGAAGGGACAGAGCCCGAACAGACAAGAAGGGAGACAGAGGAGGAAATGGAAAGAGAAAGACAACACATTACAGAAAAGAAGAGAAGACAAATATATAAAATACTGCATGGTACTATGAGAATATAAAAATTATAAATTGCAATTGAAAATAACATAACAAAAGGTTGTAAGTAATAGGCTAATCACAATGCTCTAGCTTTAGTCCATAAAAAAAATCAAGGTCCTTAATTGATAACCTTATGATGGAGATAAGAAATACAAATAAATCATATTTACTTTTATAGCACTTTAAAAAAGATATAGGCCTATATATCAGGCAAACAAAAATTATAATTGCATTATTAATTTTACTATTTTAGCAGACTCGTTCTCAGAAGAAAATTTTCTTAGAAGATCAAGAATTGCGCCCTCAATTTGGCGAATGAGTGAAACCGGAAGTATTATAGTAAGTAAGCGAATCACAACAGAATCCGACAGGTTGTTGTAAGCTGCATGCTGTTTCTCAAACTTGGTTTTTGAAGAGCTGGGTTAGTGTTTCTTTATCGGTATTGTCCAACCTCACTTTAAAGCTCACAATGGCTCAAGATATTTCTACAGATGATGTTGCGGAATTAAAAGAACAGTTTGACATGGTATGTACTGACTTCTGTAGGCACACTTGCTTCGTTTGATTCAGGATCACTCCCTCTTTCGGGTCTTGCACTTGGTTCTAATCCTTAGGCGGTTACTACCTGGGTCCCTGGATTTTTGTTTATTTAGGCCTACGTTAATTGTAAAATAGGGCTAGGATCGTCCGTCTTTTGTTGTCCCATGTCTAAGAATATAGCCACCATTCACATCGCAAGAATTCAAATGTAGCGGAAGTAGGTCTACCTTATCTTTTCTTCACTGACAGTTGTAGGCCCTATCTTGACCTCTGTGGAACATTTTTAAACCTTTGGATTGTACAGGGTATCGTCATATAGCTTGGTGGTTCAGATTCTTGCCTTCCAATCCCAGGGTCGTGGGTTCAATTCCTGTCAGTGTTGCAGGATTTTTTTTTCTCACAACTAAAACAACTCCACTCCTTAAACCTCATACTGAGATTTAGTTGTGAAAACATTGTGTGTATAATATGTTTGTCTTGTGTGCAAGGGATTGTCACCTACAAGTAGGACAGTGGTATATTCATTCATTCATTCTCAAGGTATATTTTATTCAAAAATTCAAATATAAACAATACAAAGTTAAAAAGAATTGCCAAATATAACATTTTAGTAAAAAGAACTAAATTGCGTTATATTTACAAGCAAAAAACAACTTACACAATTACAGTAGCACATAAATACTTAAAAAGCATGTGTTAAGTTAAGAAGCAGAAAACAACAATTTACAAATAAACATAAAAATACTTAAAAAGTCAGAAAAGCATTGGGCAAAAATTTAAAAAACAACAAACATTTATATAGAGAAGTAATTAAAAAAAGCCAAAAATCTTTATTATAAAAAAATTGACATTCAAATCTTTAATCCAAACATGATCATAATTAATTTATTATAGTAATAATTGCAATTCATACTTAAAATGTAAAAAAAAAGCACAGGACAATAAAAAAAACATTCAAAAAGAGAAAATAAAAACTCCAAATTCATTATTATAAAAATAGTTCTAATTCAAAATATTATTAATTTAATTTAATTTAATATATTTAGCTAATTGACAATCCTTGGTGCATGTGTTGTGTGCCTAAATAAATAAATAAATTTAATTGAATGAACAGAAGTAAATATGTTCTTGTCCTAAATTTTTGTAAAAATGGAAGTCTTAGTCCATATCAGATGTTTTTCAGATCATGATCAGAAGATAAAAATTACAACTACTCAGTGGCAGTGACAGCGCTACAGTCCCCCGTCAGGGAGGCCTTGCAGCCCCCTCCCCCTCCGTTGGGGAGAAAAATCACAATTCGTTAGGAAGGAAAAAAATTTTTAAAGAATTATATATATTTTTGTACATATTAATAGACTCTCGATTCGAAATCAATTAAATAAGCCTCTGAAACCCATAAATTTTCATATTTTCGGGGGACTACATCCCCTGGACCACTTTCGAAACCTTTTTAGCTTGGACCCCCGGTCGGGGAAATCCTGACAGCGTCACTGCCCAGTGGCGTATCTAGGGATCTTGAAATGGGAGGGGGTAGGGTTCGGGTTGGGGCAGGAAGGTGAAGTGGGACGGAAAGTTAACGTGAGGTGGAGCTAGCGTGCAAAATAAGGTGATTTTTATCCGACTTGAGCATAATTTTTTGGTTTCAAACATGGTGGAGAAACTGGAGGGGTGTAACTTTGTTTGGTGCTGTGCCCTCCCCCCTCCCATGCACCATTTAGATATGCTACTGCTGCTACTGGACATCTGTTTCATTCATAATTAAATTTGGCTGATAGCCAGAAGAAACGTTGTGTTAAAGTAAATAACATACTGGTTTATTTACAAGATTATTTCCTATTTCATTTATGTTTAGAAAAGATTTAAATGCTTGTATATAAACTGCTAACTATTAAAGCAGGCGCCTCCGCCCAACCCCCATTTTATTACTAAATTTTAAAAATGTTAATGCAAATCTATGTTATGTTCTATTCACTTAAATATTCTGAAACTGTTGTTAGTTATGTGTCTGGCTACCAATCTTAGGGCTGTGGACTATTTATTTTTTTTTAAATTTTAATTGTATAAAGGAGCTGTTCTTGCCAAGCTTTTTGGTTCCTCTTATAGCTGAAATTTCTTCAATGTGTATTTTAGAAAATAAAAAAAGCATTTGACAGATACAGATACAGAACTTCATTGTCAATTCACATTTTTTTGTGCTTGAGATACTGTATAGTTTCCATAACTACAGTTCAATAATAACTCAAAACATTTTGGCTTTAATGGCATCATTTCCTTCAAACCATTTTTTTAGCATATTTTCTTACAAAATTCATAAAAGCTTTTCCAAATACAGTAGCACATAAACAAATAGTCAACTTTAAGTAAGTGTTTTATTTGTTTCTGTAACAATGTCATCATCTATACCTTAATTTGCAAACAAGGAAGAAACTGCCTTATTTATATAGCAAATTCAATCAGCAGGAAGTAGACAAAGAAAAATAGTAAGGTGTGTTATGGATTTACAAAATGTGTCCTGGAGTTAGAAAATAGAGTTAGGAATTTACTGTATTGTTAACATTGTGTGAACTACTACCTGTCTCTTATACACATCTAGATGTGTATAAGAGACAGATCTTGACCTCTGTGGAACATTTAAACCTAGATGTGTATAAGAGACAGCGTTGGTACTGTGTGCATTATTATTGCAATTGTTCACGGAAGAACACGGTACACTATTAGGCGAGGCGGGTAGGCGCACACTGAGGCCATGGGTTCCCAGGCCTAATTTTCTTTTTCATTCATTCAACCGATTTCGAAGGCTCTTTGTAGAGTTCACGATTTATTTTTTTTTATAAGTATGGGCATATGCTACAGTCGATAGATCACAAGCGTTGGTACCGTGTACAATAGTGTTTTGCTGCAGTGACATCTCGCTGCTGGCGACTCGCTGCTGCTGGCCGATGACTCGCTGCTGGCGAATCGATCTGCGCATGTGTATAAAATGGTATTTATTTCCGAAAACACTATGCCAGTCTACAACAAGCGTCACCTAAATGTAATAATTAGCATGTTGAAATAGGCTAGTAAATAATTTTAACTGGGTTCGTAAATAATATTGGCCTCAAAATATTGTGGCTGAGACATGACCCGATTAAATGTAGAAATAGGAAACCTAGAAATATAATAAAAACGCTGAATAGTACTCCAGCGTCGCGACATGCGGACGTTGGTACGAGTAGGTTAGTCTACAAACGTCGCCTAAAGTAATTGATTTTACCCGGCAGAACGAAAAAAGGAAACTCCGCTTTTTAGTTGTCTTAGGCGCAGGTTTTTTGACAAGCAATGACCTTTCAGAGGTCAAATTGCTGTCAAGAATATGAATTGGCTGCTTCGCAGCAATAACAAAATACAACAGAAAATATATCTGTTTTAATAGTGAACCCATGTCAATTCTTGAGATGCTTCAATTGCTGTCTTTTTCCCCATGAAAATTGCCATAGACAGTGCTGGAGACACTAAAGATTAATTTAAAGAAAAAGAGGAAGAAGGCTTGATGTTATTTGACTTTGCATTGTAAAGTGGAAGCCTGCCAGCTACAGTAACGCAGCCAAGCTGTCGAAACCGGTCAAATGGAACCAGCAGTGAACCTACCAGGGAGATAGAATTCCTACTGCAATCTTATACACAACCAGCTCTGGAAAAAGTGTGCAACCGGCTATAAAGTGTACAGATAACATTTGGTGCTGCAGGCATTTTATCAGAGACAATTTTCAGGGTTGTTTCGATGTCTGTACACATCTCAAGAATTTACAAACCAATAATAGTCCAATAGAAGTTCTTTTAGTATTCTTAGGTGCATTTTATTGGTGCAGTTAGTTTGAATTACTGCTATAGATAGAATTTAATTCCATTGTTTAATATTTAGGCATATCCTGGTTTCCAATTCATTTCCCAAATTATAACATGTATGAATGTATGAGATAAATGCAATACAGTCCTGCCCAACTTCCTCTATTTGATCTCATCTATGATTTTTACAGGAAATTATCAGGGATCACCTCCAAAAAAAGATAATTTTATTGAAGCATTATCCAGGCTTTTTCTTATAATACTGTATTAGCTTGCAATGTTTCAATGCGTAAAGCACCAATAGGAATTACACTGGATACTGCCCAATAAAGGTCTAAACATTTAGTGGTATTTCTGTAGGTCTCTGAGCCATAATCTTTACGGTTACCTCCATTCCCTTTTAGTTTAGAGTGCAAAAATATTTTGAAGGCAGATTTCTTTAATGTTGTTCTCTTGTATACTTCATTAACTATGGAAGTTGGTTATACAGTACCCAACCCTTTTCCACAAGGATATTAAATATTGATATACTTGTGCTTTCAGTCCAAGACAGCAGATAACTTTGTAGGTTATAATATTTACTTACAAGGTGACCTCTACTTTTGTTGTCCACCTGGCCTGAAAACAAACCTCATTTCTTAAGATTTCTGAAGTGCTGTGTAAATGATCATCTGTGTACGCTGTTAAGAAGTGAACTTCTAATACTGTAGGCTCAAATCTAATATTATAAAGTATTAATTTGATTACATTTTGTTTTTTAATTATAAAATTTTGAAATTAGTTTTTTGGGACATGCTTTAATTTTAAGGGATCTCTTATTATGCATTAACAATTCCATTTTATTTCAGACAATGTCCATAACAAATCAGAATAAAAAAAAATAAGATGGAAATTGAGAATAGAAATAACAACCAGCTTACACTGAGACATTTATCTCAGGCTTAAAGGAAGGAGGAAGGGCTATTGTTCAATGTTATAAAGGAAGAAATTAGTGAGAATCTTAAGGCTAGCATTTTTCTAACCTCCTACAGGAATGATTTCCCTAGTGTATCCTATTCTCTTCTGATTTATTTTAGATACTGTACATTCTGTAAGTGATTTGAATAAATTTTGGAGAAGTTCTTAAGCTGAAAATAAGTACTGTAGTCTCTCTGGTGTATAAATAAGCCCACCCTATCAGAATTTTTTTTTTTTTTTTTTTTGTTTATTCTGCAAGCATAATCTAAAAGGCAATCATTTATTTTTTTTCCCTGAAATTAATTATGCATAAAAATTGTTTGAACACATACAAATCATACTACCCTGGGCTTTTACTGTACCCTGGGAAATCTGGTGAAACTGGAAGTGGGTTGGTTTATACCTGACATAAGCCTATACCTGAGGATCTATTTACTGTTCACACCCATTGCTTTGTATTCTTTTTTCTATTATTAGGACACCGATTGGGATGTGTATGGCACAGTAGTAATCAAGTTTATAAAAATTGATGGAAGTTTTGAATTACTTTTCTAAAAATACCAGCCTTCTTAGATTTCTATATGATAGACCTGCAAGCCAATAACCTATAATATTATATATACAGTATGTTATTTTTTTCCAAAAATAAAAAGTTACCTTATGGTATTAAAGACTTTAGGGCAAATAGTTTAACACCTTAATTGGAGTTTTGACTTGGATTGCCTGTCCTATATTGAAACACTATCATATTTTCATATTTTTTTAAAGAAAAATTATGTCCAAATATGGAGCATTCCAATCCAAAGTACAATTTTCAACAATGAGTCATTAAGTGAATTTTTTTAATAATTTAGCTCTAATCTTCCGCTCTGATTGGATAGTAATTCTGAGTCCCAATTCATGAATTAGAGATACAGTTGTGTCTCATATTTGGCCTCTGAACTTTTGAGGTTCGCCACACATAAGC